TTGTCAGTGGAGTGCATGTGTGAAGTTATTTAATGGTATTCCACTGTTGCTTACAAAATTCCCAAAGTATCAAATCCTGACTATTGTTTTTATGAAAGGGAGTTGTGGAACCCAGGCAGTTTGTGTTGGGTCCTCTGTTAGTGTTCTGGGTGCAGTGGTAATGCCAACTTTATTGCAGATGTCAGTGCTCTCAAAACATAAACTCTTCTATAGCCTGTGCATTCATTGCCTACAGTAAATATCTTACGTGCTGCTCTTAATTAATCTTCCCCCCCCCCCATTACCTTTGTACCAGCATGTTTAATGTAGTGTGGTTAAGTATTTTCCATTTTAAATCAATGCTTTCTCCGGTTTATAAATAGACTGTTAACATTAGCTTCAGGCTGAGTGGTGGCATGCAAAGTTTTGACTTCAGAATAATTTCAATGTGTGTTGTTTTTCTGTTTTCGGAGTGTTCCAAAGTTCAGACAGAATTGAATGCATGATACTACTTTGCTATCTTAAAGGAAAACAACTTCTTAAAAGTCAAAATTTGAATGAGGTAGACATAGTTTAGACTTTTGCCTGTCTTGGGGAAAAAAAAAATGCAACCACTGATCTAAGGTATTAAAAAATAGCTAATGAGCATAGTTGGAAACTACTTTCCGGAAGTATTTCTTCTTGGTTTTTGGTAGGCAAGGTGTAGCAGAAGTATTTTTTATTTTACACAGTGATTATGTGTTTTCCAAGTAATATAGTTGTCCAGATAAATCCTCATCTGCTGGTCTCTTCTACTGTGACTCTACAACAGCTCATATGTTTTCCTGACTAAGAGTATATATGTGGTTCTTGTAAACTACTCGGAAAAAGGGTCAATATTAAGGAACACATCTGTTTTCTAAATACAGTTGGTAGTTTATTTCCTAATTTCAGCATAATGTGTGTGTAGTGGATGTGATGTACATGATGTTCTCAAAAGTTACATGGCAGAAAGCTCTTCAAAAGCACCGTTTTTTAAGCTTTACGTTATTTCTGTAATCCAGTTCTGACATTTTTGTATTTTCTCTAAAGGATAAACATAAACAATACCCAGTGGTGATGTATGGTTGCATTTCAATCAAAGCTTTCAATTGCAAGTGTGAATTTAAAGTGATTTTTTTTTCCTTTTTTTAACCAGTGGAATTCTTGACAGCACATATACATTGTTAATATGGGCAGTGTAGGTTTGCATTTTTTAGTGTTTTGTTAAAGTACTATTTATGTTCATAAGAACAGCCTGCTATTTTTTAAGCTGGTAATGGGTTTTTTTGATGTCATGTTATTTCTGAATCAGCAGCTGAAAATTTTATTAAGAATTATTTTTCAGATGTTTACTCCATAATATCTTGCTGTATTGTTGACTGAATCACAAGTAAATGGAGCTCCCATTCAGTGAATGCAGGTTCTTTAATTTCTTTTCTTCCTGTGTCTACAGGAACATCTTAGAATTTTTAATTTTAAATTACTGAGAAAAAAGAAACCAACGGTCTAAAATTTTAGATCGAATTTCTATTTATAATTTATTTAAAAGTTGTATTGTGTTCTTGTTTTATTTCCTTGAACCACAACACCATATAATCTCAGCATAATTCCTCCCTGGACCAGCATTTTATATGGCTCATTGTTGTGATAGTTTTGATCATTTTGTTCTCTCTTTGGTCTCCGTCAAGTCCAAAATGCATTTTTGGACTTGGGTGTTTTGGGGAAGATGCTTTGTAACACCAAGTGACAGGAAGATGCTTTGTAACACCAGGTGACAGCAGGATTGAACTGAGTTTGTGAGATGTCACTGGTGATGCTTCTTTAGTGCAGTAACTTTGCAGTTTGTCGCATTGGATTAGTGGCACTTGCTGTTTCAAAATTTGGTTTTGAGTAACTAAAAACTGACCTGCTGCTGCTGCTTCTCCACATGCCACTGTCATTTCTCCTCATTAGTGCCTTACACTTTGAAGTTTCTCTTGTTTTATTCTAAAGTATTTATTTTTTATTACAAGCTTGTATACTTGTGCTGGCAAATACTGCATTGTAGTAACGTGAACTTTCATTTATCAGGCAGCTTCATACTCCCAAAATGTTTTTAGTTAATGGATTGGATGCTGTCAAACAGATTTTGGCAAAAATTGCTTTGTAAAATTCAGTGACTTCTTAATGTTTTCCTCCTGATGGCACTTTGGAACAGTTGCTTTCCAAAAGTATAGCAGCTGAAAATGCTATTTTTTTTTTTTTGGCTGTTAAATACTTTTTGTGGTGTGTTTGAGTTGAGTGTTCAACAGAAGCAAAATCACTTTGTAAAAGAGCTTCATTTGATACGTTGTCTTAATGCTCTGACTACTTTTCCAAATGTAGGGGTTTTTTGGGGTTTTTTTGGTTTTTTAAGGATGCTAAGCTCTGCACGTTTGCAGAGATGTCAGCAGAGCTTGAATTACAGGTTACTTGCCGGTTTGAAAACAGTAAAACATTTTGAACTGTAGCAGCTGAAGGGAAAAGGTGAAACATGCCTGCTCTATAAATAGCTTCTGTTAGTGAGTGCATGCTTTTCTGCCTCTAACTGTTTGTCTTTAGATAATAATGAACCAACTTTTTAGAAGTGAAACATTATCAGTCTTGGGTTTTTTTGGAATGGATAGGTATTTCTAGAAAAGGTTTCTAACTTTGTGTAAAAGAGGAATTTTCCCTTTGAAGGGAAATACCTATTTGGAGTGGGGGCTTGCAGCTTTTAGCTAAAGAGACTTTCTGCTCTTTTGGTTCTGTTAGTGAAATGTCATTATCTTCAAGTCCCCATGCAGGTGATTCATTTGCCTTCTTCCAGGAGCATGTAACATCTCCCTTCTTGGCAGGCTATAAATTACTGCTGGTGAAAGCTTTCTAGGAAAGCAGAATGTGTCAAATTTTTTACCTGTTACTAACTTTTTGTACTTTATTTGGTGAATATGAGATAGTTAGGTTAAAGATGAAGGCTTTATCTGCAGGAGGGGCACAGCTGCCACTGAGTACTGTGCAGTGTTAGGGGCAGTGGAGAAGGTGGCATTTGATTTCTGGTATGTTAAATCATAACAGCCCAACCAGGGCTTTTGAGCTGAAATTACCTGAATTTTTTACTCTGGTGCATTGAAACCTTTTTAGAGGTCATATTTACTAACAACAATTTATTTCTTGAAATACACACACAGAAAAAGAGGAAGAAAATAGTGTTTCATGATTACCAGGCATTGTACATCATTGTGGCATAGTTTCATCATGCAGATGTTTCTGCATTTTAGCCTACAAGGGCAGCTGATGTTTTTGTTTAAACCCTCTGTAATTTAAGAAGTGTAGGTTAGGTAACTTGACTGTATTAGTCCTGTCATTGTTTAGACCAGGATCCATGTTTATAAATGTTGCTGCTTGTAACATAAATTCTCAAAAAATTCTCAGTGGAGAAGGAGGGGGAGCCATGAGCTGTGTTTGTGTCTGAGCAGTGCTAGGGACTTAAAGGCAAGTCTGCTGTTAACTCTGAGTGTTTCTAGAGACATTCATCTTTCCAAGAATATTTTAACTTCATTAAATGCTTGAATTATATACTGACAAATTAAAAGTGATATTGTTATTGGAGTAAGTGGTTGGGCTGTGCTTTTTTTTTTTTTTTAAAAAAATGGTTTAGTAGAAAATCTTTCATTGGGCCTTTTTCTGTTGGAATTAATAGCAGTTCAGGTATTTACTGAGAGTAGGACAGAGTGGGATCAGGCCCTTTCAGTGATCAATGGTTAGACTTTTCTTCAGCTCATAGATGAGGGATGTTTTTATGTATGGTTCATAGGAAGATGTTATTAAAAAGAAAAATCTCCTGTGCAGTTTCTTTGGGACTACGAGTCCCAAAGAATTAACTTACTAGGAATTAACCTGAAATAAATAGAGCTGTCTAGGTTTTAACAAAGACTCTCTTTTTGAGAGAAGGCACTTATACAAGCATGCTGTGACTACTTAAAAAAGGAAAAGGCAGAGAGAGGAGCTCATGATGGGAGACGCAGTTCCACTCCCCCTCTCTGTGCACATGTTGAGTGGTGACGAGAGCATGAATACGTATGCCTGGGCTTGTTCGTCCACTCCCTTCCTCTGTGCACTTCACAGCTCACTGCCTCTTTGGCCTCGACTCTTAACTACTTTAACTGGTAAACATCCTCTTGCAAAGTCGAGGTTAGTCTGTGCATATGACCTTCTTCAGGGTAGAAAGTCACAGTACTGCAGCTGAATGTAATCCAAGCAGTGATGCTGACTGCACAACCTGCTCTGAAATGTACAGTGTGAACAAATGGGAAAAAGGAGAGATTTTCCTCTTTGTTTCCGGTAACTTGAAGAACTTTTTAAAAACAACTGGAGAGACAACACTTTGGACTAGAGCTATGTATATATTTCTTCTTTTTTCCACCTAATTTTCATGTGATACTGATTCCTACGATGCACTTTTCTGGTATTTCAACAATACTTAATCAGTTTTGGACTTTGAGGCAGTGTGGTTTTATAGTATTGCCATTATAAATAGTTGACATATAACACCTTACTTGTAGTGTCCATCCCACTGTTCAAATTTAATACTGGTATGGCATATGAAATTTAGTTGTGTTGCCCTGTATCTGTGCCTCTGACTTAATGCTTTAGCCAAAATCAATGTAATGCTTAAATCCAAAGGAAACCCCCAAATTCTATGCTCTTCAGTGAGAAAAGTATTGAGAGCCAAACCTGGGCCTTCACACTGGGCAAGCAGAATTGGGTTTAG